GAACCATCTCCATCAGTCTGCTCCTGCAAGTGCTGGGAAAAACTGGCACGCTGCGGTCGAAATCCCGCAGCCATGCAGCATTGACCCCAGCCACAACAGAACAAACCCTCCCCTTGACAGCCGTTCGCAAGCCTAGTGGAGGCCCTCCCATTGTGGTCCTTTACTCGATCACTGAAGGCGGTCGGACGGGCACCTCAGTGCGAGTGGCCTAAGCAGGCAACTGTCGTCGTCGGACTGCTGCTATGAGTGCAAGCAGCCTGGACATCACCAAAACCATTGTCCAAGACTTCTGGACACTACAAACAAGAGGTGGCACGAGACGGCAGCAAAGACCCGGAACCAGAACAACCAGGGAAACTACTACGGCCAGCGGCGCTGAAACCAGACAGCCACTCGCCGACTGCCGTTACAGTCCCTGGGGGCAGCGAGGCCGCAGCACAGATTCCATCAGTATGTTGAATCCAGCCCGAGCCTAACATCATTGAACTGCGCATGACGATTTCGCTGCTTGATGTTCCCGTTGTCGCACTTCTGGATTTGGGGGCCGCTACCTCGTTTATAGGGGATTTCGTTTTTTAAATCTGCGAAGCAAACAAGATAAGCCTCCGGGAATACGAAACCCATTTGCAGGTAGCTTCTGGTACAGCGATGACAGCTGGAGGAGCCGTGACGCTGCAGACTCTGTGTAATGGCAAGAAGTGGCATCAGTGATTTCTTTATCTGCCAGAACTCGTGGTAACCTCTACAGGACGGCCCCGCGGACCCTAACAGCAATGCAGCACAATGGACTCCTGTACCTGGACCTTGCTTGAGGATTGCCCGTCTGTCAGGGAAACGTTGAACAAATTAGGCGAGCGTGACCTCGAACGCGCCATCTCGCTCGTCTAGCGGTGCCGACTGGACCTTCTACGCCAGTCTGCCCAGCAGCGCCATCCACCTCGACGCCCACAACGACGACACTGTCATCGACATGCCAGTGAAGTTTGAGGGGGGGGGGGGGGGGGGGAGCGGCAGCTCCCCAGCCAGTTGCCCGACTACAGGGCACAGGTGGTGAACTTTCCCTCGTGGTGGCGGAGTCAAGCCGGCCATGCACGCATTGCACGCGCCGCCTAGATAAGGCGGATCAGAGGCGGCGCGCAGACAGTCGCTGGCGAAACTCAAGCGCCGCCAGTGCTTGTTGGTTTTCTGGTAGTATTTTTCATTGTCTCGTCCATGTCCAATTGAATGTAGTTTCTTGATGTTCGAATCGTTGGCTCCGTGTTATTCCTCCGGGTCGGGTATGCAGCAAGGCATGCCGAGGATAACTCGTGCTGCACTGAGATGAATCAAACGCGGCCATGCAGGGGCCGTGCAACCTCCGGTTAAATCGAATGCGCCAGTTCCTGCACTGCGCGAACTACTTCAGCCAGTTCAGGCGAATCGAACAGACCTATTGTTATGATAACGGTGTATTGTGCAGCACACAAAACTAGGGCCAGGCGTTGTCTGTGGTGGGCATCCCTTTCCCAAGTTAAATTTGTGTGACTGTACGTTGCGCTTTTACTCTTCACTGTAATATTTGCCGTTTTCCCGAAGTCTGTGGAACCTGCCTACAAAGTGGCGTGTATGGTATTACATCTCTTTAGGAGGAGGACCACCAGGAGCTGGCTTGAGCCAGCTTTCCGTACTTGTGGGGGCTGCAGCCCCACACATGGCCAGGCGGCTGGTCAACGGCGGCGACAGCGACGGCAGGCATGCCGGCCAAGCACTCTTTAGCGTGGCCGACATCCTGGAGCCGATGGTAGTGCAACGGGCTGATGAGGAGCTCTCCTTGGAAGGCTTCTCAGGTAAGGGAAGGAAACCTTCCAGAGTTCTCTGGGGGTCGGCCTCCTGAAGGACGGTAATTCTCAGCTGCCATGTTCTACAAGGTGTTTGTAATTGATTTTACTGGACTGAGAGGCACACGTCCCTCAGTCCAGTAGATACTTCGGAGAAGCATAACGCGAAAGAGATTGAGCAAAAGAGGGAAGAAACAAATCAGACGCAAAGTAAGGCCTATTTACTTGGTCGCATTGCTCCGCATTTATTCCACTGTTTTCGATACAATGCTTTCGCCGGTGGTTTGCGCAAAAGTAAAGCTGACTGAGGCTCGATAACTACTTTGCAAGTGATATTGTACCAACTTATGCATTTATGACCAAGATAACTTGCAATTTTGGCTTTTGGAATATGGAAGGAATGTAAAGTAGAATAACAAGTAGTGAAATGTTTCTATTCCTAAAAAGTCGTCTTACTTAAAACAAAATCAGCACAACTGGTACCAGATATTCATCCCTTACAACACCGTTGCATGTTTCTCTGCCAATATTACTGCCAGCCATATTTGTATAAATGTTAGTGCAACTTCTGAGGTTGTTTTCCGAACGAAATAGCTCGCGTGACCTGTCACACCAAAGGGAATTTTCAATCGCAAGTGCTGTGAAAAAGCACTTTGTCCACTGATCGACATCTGCCAAGCTTTCCCCTACTGTCTACCAGTTTTGCTGGTACAGAATCTTCTGGTGACTACTGTGCGAAATGTTTACATATCGGCATACAAGCTGCAGAAAGCCGACCTTTCACCTGTGTGAAATGGAAGAATGCATGGAAAGTCCATTGAGTAAATATGAATAATCCTACAAAAGTAGTTTTCTGACAGCTTGCAACTGAACACGCCGTAATGGGGTAAAAATGTGAATATCAAGGCCCACACTGTCGCATTGTAGGGCTAACGATGTGCTTGATGAGCAGGTACCTTGGATGAAATGTCAACAATCCGACCATGATGATGCCTGCTTCCTTTTCCTTGTTAGGAGCTCCGTGACGCGGTTTTCGCATTCGGCGAGTAGGTTCATGGCAAAGTTGCCATCATGCGCAGCCACGTAGTTTCCGAGAAGGTCGAACACATCCAGTACACGTGCCATGGATGGCGGAGGCTGCAAGTCCGGCACGTCGTCTTCATCTGACTGCGCCTCGCCGCGGACACTTTGTATAATGTCCTCGTCACTCACTTCTTCATGAGCGATAACATCCATGTCAGCGTTGATGAAATCTTCCAGCGCGACACCGGATGGCGCAGTTCCGGCATTCTGAAGCGCAGCCCAAGAAGTAACTGCCTGTCTCGGCGGACGCACTGTTTCCTTATCCTCAGCAGAGTCGGCGTCTGGGTATTCGAGCTTGAAGCCCGCATGTGTGAAACAGTTGGCGATGACTGAACGTTTGGTTGCAGTCCATGCAGCAGCCATCATCTGCAGCGCGATGTAGAGATCCAACTTGGTGTCTCGACCTGCGTGCACGTTTAGTAGGAGACGCTGCATCACTCGCTGGCGGTAGGCACACCTGAGGCTTCTAATGACACCTTGGTCAAGGGGCTGGATTGCTGAAGTGCAGTTAGTTAGAAAGTACTTAAGCTTCACATTTGTGAGCTTAGCATCCGGAATTCAGTGAGCGGAGCAATTGTCCAGCAACAAGCAAACCCGCCGGCCCTGCCTCCTCATGTCGCAGTCAAACCTTTCGACCCATTCCGAAAAAATTGCCCGCGTCATCCAAGACCGGCTGTTGGCCACATACTTGACGGGAAGACTCCTGTTCCCTTTCAAACAACGGGTCCTTGCACTCTTGCCAATAACCAGCTGTGGACGCTTGTCGGATCCGTCCATGTTGGTGCACAGCAGTATGGTCACGCGCTTTTTACTGTGTTTTCCACCATGGCAGCGCTGACCTTTAATTTCCAGAGTCTTGGACGGCAGCATCTCATAGAAAAGTCCTGTCTCGTCGGCGTTGTAAATGTCAGACATCTCGCAGTCATTCAACAAGGCAAAAACGTTTGTTGACATCCAAGCAGAAGCATTGCCTGTGTCTGCCGATGCCGACTCGCCACTAAGCGTCTTGCCGACAATGTCATGGCGGGCCTTGAACCTGTTGAGCCAGCTGGTGCTAGCTTTGAAGTTGTCGATTCCCACCAGGCAAGCGAAATTTAAGGCCTTCTGCTGCACGACGCTTCCGCTGATGGGTATCTTCTTTGCCCTCGGTTTCACAAACCATGTGTACACAGCCTTGTCGAGCTCTTCGTGCGCCGGCGGTGTCAATTTCTTTCGTTTGGCCGATGTCCCCGATGCAAGAGCCTTTTTGACTGACTGCATCTTTCGACTTTAGGATCGTCGACAACGAACCCTGAGAAATTCTGAACTTTTCGGCGATGACAGCTTTCTTCTGTCCACTTGCAACTTCGGCCAGGATGCGAGCTTTATCTTGTAAGGATAAAAACTTTTGCGTTTTGCTTGGCAGTGCCATCATGCCATGCGCAAAAAGCCCCTGTACCGTTGTTGTCGTCGTACCGTACTGATAAAATGACAACCGACAAAGGAAGAAGAAAAAAAAAAAGACTGAGCTTTGGCTTTAAATAGTCTGCAGCAGGGCGTTATCAAGCCAAGAGCTAGAGAAACATTGGTGCAACAGTGTAGGAAGGCCAGCCTCATCGCCGTCTTTATGAAGTAATGGCGGCCTGCACGCCCGGTCAACGTTGCGCTCGGGTATCGGTTATAGTGGCAGTTTCTGGTGGTTCAACATGCGATTTAAACTTCATAGTAGACATATTTTATGTGCCAAAATGCACCAGTGCTCGAAAGTTTGTTTTTCGTATGGAAAATTAACCATTCAAACTTCGAATTGCTCTGTAAAATTTTGTTCAAGCGGAACAGCACAAGATTTTGTTCGCCGTAGTGAGAATTCTTATGCATTGACTCCTATGGGCCGTTGACGGGGAACCAAAAAATATTCGTTGAACCGGAAATTTCGTTGAAGCGGCGTTCGTTGAAGTGGGGTTCGACTGTAGTGGGTTTCGTGTTAACACAGGAAAAAGGGTATCTTGCACTTCAGTATGTAACCTCCATTAGTCCTGTAAGCCAAATTAGTGTTGAAAAAGGATGTCCAGCGTACCTATAGGGAATAGAGCCTTCAACTTTTTAAATTCCTATAGTTCCTATTTTGTCAGCAGACTTCACATATTAGAGATCTTAATGTGATGTGAATGTATTCTTTGTTTCTCATACTGTGTGCAGATTCTGCTATGGGTGAGCCAGAGAGCCAAGTTTGTGTGGTGCCTAGTGGTGGAGCAGCCCCCATGGCTCGAGTGCCCCTCACAGCTACGGTGCAGCTCACAGCTGCAGCTGGACCATCTGCAGCAGCAAGTGATCGCCAGGGAAGTCCCCACCGGGAGGCGCCTACTCGCGTTGGAGGGCGCTTTGGAGTGCTGGAGCGCACGCTAGGTGCTGAACAAGATGTTCGGCTTGGTCATCTCACGCGGGACCAAGAAAGGAAGGACGAAGAACACGACCTCCGCCTTAAGATCCTAAAAGCCGAGCACGAAATGAGGCGGAGTGAGCATAAGCTTAAAATGAAGAAAATTAGAAACGAAAATAGGCTCGTCCTGCTCAGAATTGCTGAGGCAAAGAAATTAAACAGATAGAGGCCACAAATAGGAGCGTTGTGTGCAACATTGCCTGGCTAAAAAAATAAACAGTTAAAGGCCCTTTGTTTTGAGATCTTTTATTCGTTCCATATTTCTTCAAAAAATGAGATTCCACAAGAGCATCTACGAGTGTTACATAATTAACAATTTATGCCATGGCATGGGTCATTGGAAAAGAGTGTTATCTATGCTCTGTTTACCAGTTACTTCAACCAGGATGAAAGCCTTCGTCATGAGATAAGAAGTTTTGAAGGTGCTTTCTTTCCCTGATTGCTTGTGTTGCCTGATGGCAGCTTTGAGGCACATGACTGCAAACACACTGGCCAAGTTAATAATAATAATAATGCTTTATTTGATTTGTGCCCCAGAAGAACCAATAGGTTATAATGTGGCACATAAAATATAATACAAAAGAAAAATCCATAAAGATGTCTGCCACTGTTACAAAATATGGTGTGGGTCCATAGCCGAAAAGGTATAAATCAAGCTCTCGTTTAAAAACTAAAAAATCTTAAAAAACATCAACATGAGGCGACAATTCATTACCACAAATTTGCATCTGCACCAATTGCGACAATTGCAATTGCGCAGAGGGATAAAATACACTCATTCCTCTAATAGCACGAGCTGGAACATGATATACCAGCAATATCACCAATTCACTATCTATATGGCCGTGAACAAATTTATGTAAAAATAAAACATCACAAGCAGTCAGTCTTTTTAATAAATTGTGCAAAGAAAGTTCTCTAATAATGTACTCATAGTCGTAATAACATCTTCCAAAATACCTATCAACAATTGGAACAAATTGTTTTTCAACCCTTTCAATTCGCTCTGCTTCAACTGCAGTCAGCGAATTCCGTACAGCACTACAAAACTCGGGTCTAACTAGCAACAAGGAGCAAAACAAGCGGACGACACATAAAGAATTTGAAAAGTTACGCGTCACACGTGATATTCCCATCGCTCGAAAAGCTGAAGCAACATTCTGACTAACACGACTTGAAAAGGAAAGATTGCTATGAAAATAAACGCCGAGGTCACATACTTGTTCAACCGATCGAATAGTACAATTGCCAAGTATGTACGAGTAAGAAATGTTTTTGCGTTTTCTACACACAGTGAGTACATTGGTTTTAACTGGGTTAGCAAGTAAAAAATTTTCAGAACACCGTTCAGAAATGCATAATATTTCATCCTGTAAAAAAACACAGTCATCTTGTGATTGAATTTTCGTAAAAAGTTTGATGTCATCCGCATATAAAAGCATCCACATTGTTTACGCACAAGTTTCGATCATTGATAAATACAAGAAAAAGAAGTGGCCATAGGTTTGATCCTTGGAGGACACCGAAAGAGGGTGCAAGAACTTAAGTAAAGTGCCTAGCAATAATTGTGTTTCTCACGTTCGTTCCTGTGTCGGCTGGAAGCCGCGGCAACGGTGGCAAGGGCCTTCTGCGCCGGGGCTTTGGCAGTGGGGGCAGGGGCACGGCTGGCGGACAAGGGTCCAACAGTTGCCGTCCCAGGTTGTGGAGAGCTGCGCAGGCCGTGATGATGCCTGCAGATCGCTCGGGCTTGTGCTGAAGCCTCATGTCGAGGCATGGAAAGCGCCGCTTCCAAACCCCGAATGCCCTCTCGATGCTGTTTCGAGTTTTGATATGGGCCTTGTTGTACCTGCATAGAAAATTTCGTTTTGTGTATAGGCAAGTTCCCCAACTTGGTGAAAATAGTCTTGTATTCTCAGGTTCCTTTTGTGTTGTGATAAAACAGACGAAACTCGGCCATACATAAAAGTGCAAATTCCAAATTGAGCTTAAAGATGCAGTGTTTGTGACTCCTGTAGCATGTGTTCCTTTTTTGTCCCGTTATGCCTTCCTTGCCTTATTACTCTTGCTTGTCAGTGCATAGTCGCAGATTTCAACTTCTGGAATGCTGCTTATGGTTCAGCACTTGTGTTAGCTCGTCGAAATAAAAGTTCAGATTGTGTATAAGAATTTACCATGTAAGAATTTACCACGATAGGAATTAACAGCTTGAAAAACGAAGACAACAGAAGGAACACACACACACACAACAGGACAAGTGCTGTACTGGCAACTCTTGTGTTCCTTCCAGTTGTCTTCATTTCCTGTGCGGTTAATTCCCATCACATTCTATTTTTAGAAGCTTGCAGTAGCTTTTAGCTGGAGTCGAGAGTGGAATGAAGCAAAGTATAGCCTGCTTATGCATGATTGATGAGAGCATGTAGGAATCACGACATTGGACTCCCGATCTGCATACTCACAAGTGCATCGTCACCTCCGTCATCAGCTTTGTATGACAATGCCAACTTATAAGCACTAAAACTGTTTACGCATAAATAAGCTGTGCAATCCTGACACCTATTTTACTGCTGGGGTATAGTGCGAACAGCTTACCTGTCATGAGGGCTGCCTGCCTTGCCTGGATCTGCAAAGGGGGTCATCAAATACGGTGTGCAGGCATAGCCCATGTCCCCAAGGAGCACCCCGGTCATCACTGCTTCCTCGTAGAGGACCTTGGCTCGACAGTTATCAAAAATCCTACTGTCATGGACGGAGCCAGGCCAGCTTGCGACGACGTCGAAGAACTGGAGCTCGGGTCCTGTGATGGCCTGTAGATGCATATACACATTGGGAATAAATGTGGAGTTCAGTTTTTTCTTGAAATGAGTCACATCTTGACACCGAAGTTTGGAACTCTCTTCTTACCTAAATTATGGCTTGTTTAAAAATCTAAAATATTGATGCATTAAATAGAAATATTAAGCACTTTGCAGACATTTCCCCTTTCGATATGGATATGCAAAATAAACTACTCAGTGGAAGTTAGTTAACAGTTAAGCCTGGGTGTGTTTAGTTTGCTAAAAAAATCAAGTGAGTGCTTCCCTGCGTCAACACTCCTTTCATAGCAGCATCTTTGAAAAGTATGATTAATGACGCGGGACATATATACGTTTCTTGCGAGCACATAAAAATTTAAAAAAAAAAGAAAAAAAAATATATATAGATCTATGAAGGGAAATTAGCGCACATCGCAAAACTTCTCGAGTCGCTCTTACCTGCACGTTGATAGAGAAGTACCCTTTCCGGTTACGGAATACTTCAGCGTCGTCGCCGCCGGGGCTCTTTATCCTCACGTGTGTGCAGTCGATGCAGCCGCTCACTCCCGGAAACTTTCCGATCTTGTAAAAAGCGTGCGTTACGCTGCGGCGCCCGGTAGCATCGGGAAACTGTACCACTTTTGGGAAGAGTTCCTGTATGATCAGGTCGGTGATGTTGCCGACGACGCGACACACAGTGGGCTGGGAGGTCGGAAGTGCCTCAATAAGAGCAGGTATAAATATTAGTAGCAAATTTAATTATAAAAAAACTGCGCCGACTTTACTCAACAAGATTAACAATTTAATCAAGCGTTTCGTCTCCCATGCGGGGAACATCATCAGTGAAACCTTCAAGCAGGAATGAGCGAAAAAACTTCAACAATCTTATTTAAGCAAGTCCGCATAAACATCGGGGGAGGGGGCCGCGGTTGGAGTTGCAAGCTGATGAGTCACTTCAGATGAACCATGATTCCACCAACCTTCGTGGACTCCACCTTTGTTGTAACGCCGGAGTGGACGCATTCTCAAAGTCGAAACTGTGACCCGTATTCCAACAATGGTCTACAAGTTCCGTCTTCGCTGTGTTTGTTTAGGCAAGTGCAGCGCTTCCAGCCTGTCTCCCCAATGTAGGATGTGTCACAGTCTAGACAGTTCACTTTATACACAACACCGCACTGGGACTCTGGGGGGGTGTAATCTTTAGGTTTAGAAATGAAGTCACATAGTTTATGGTGGGGTTTCAAAGCTGTGCGGATATTCAAATGGGCGAGGGCCCTGCGAATGGACTCAAAAGCACCTCTCAAATAGGGTATTGTTGCTTGCCCTGTCCTAAGTTGTCCATTATCCTGACTTCTTTGTCCCATCTGTTTGTGCGTGTTATCAATAAAACGTTTTGGATAATTCCGCTTCATCAGCAGGTCAACAATAACAGCATCCTCAGAAGCGCGCAAGCCGCCTCGGTGGCTCCAAGGCGAGAGCGCTGGCCTACGGATCTCCATGTGGCGGAGGCTTATTGCGGAGCAGGCGCCGTGTAACCAAGCTTTCGGTTGCACGTCAAAAGATCCCCAGGTAGTCTAAATTAATCCTCAGTCCTCCGCTGGGGCGTGCCAGATGCCTGTCGTTGGTTTAGCACGTAAATCCCCCAAATTTGACTTTTTTCTCAGCAGCGCGCAATTGAGGATTAGAAGAAATGCGTTTGGACCGGTGTAGTAGGTTTTTTACGACAGCCCTTTTATGTTCGACAGAATGATGCGAGTTAAAGCTTAAGAGGTTGCCTGTGCTTTGCTTTGCGGTACACTGTTGTATATAAGCGACCGGTACTATTTCGGAACACATTAACATACAGAAAAGGCTTTGCACCGTTCTGTTCAACTTCATGTGTGAATTGGATTGATGATTCAATGCTGTTTAAAGCTAAATGAAAGTCACAAAAGGGACATGGCAAAGGCCACGCATGCGACAAGAGCGAAGACGGAACTCGTAGACCATTGTTGGAATACGGGACACAGTTTCGACTTTGAGAATGCGTCCACTCTGGCGCGTGAACAAAGGTGGGGTCCAAGCAGGTTTGTAGAATCATGGTTCATCCGAAGTGACTCATCAGCTTGTAACTCCAGCTGCGGCCCCCTCCTCAATGTGTATGCGGACTTGCTTAAATAGGACTGTTGAAGTTTCTTTCGCTCATTCCTGCTTCAAGGTTTCACCGACGATGTTTCCCACATGGGAGACGAAACGTTTGATTAAATTGTTAATCTTGTTGAGTAAAGTCAATGCAGTTTTTTTATCATTATGATTCCCGACTTTTGGATTAATTTTGCAGCACATTTAATGAAGAAATGGATGCCGATAAACACCTGCCAAGGTTGACTAAAAATAAACAGAAACATCCAATCAATAGTTATGATTGCACTAAGCGGTTGCTATGTGGATGTTTTTTTATGTTCGACAGCTCAGCAAAGTCTGCGGATCTGGTTATGCTTCCTGTACGAGACAGATCACGAAGTGGTAGCTGACTGACCAGTTGGGGCGAAAATTTGTGTGGGAAGGACGTAAGAGAAAGTTGACATTCAGAAACCTTCACCTTGCTGAGTGCATCATAAGTAAGTAATCTCTGGAACAGTAGTGCAGATCGCTTCACATGGAACCAGATTTATGGAATTGTTGGTGTCATACTTCTGTTGCTTTCTTTTATCAGATGCAGTGCAGAGCTGCCATAAATGTGAAGACTTCAAGGTAGAAACCATGGTCACAGATTAACTTCGCCACGCACCTGCCTGACATCAGTCATCTCAAATGGTAAGCTGGTCTTAAGCTGATGTTAGCACAAAAATCAAACTTTTCTAGAACAGTAAGTATGGTGTGCAATTTCTTCAAAGCATAATTTCTATATGAGAGTATTTGAATGCTTTAAATATTAAAGCCAGTGACACCTTTTTTGGTTTAATTTGAGAGCAAATACTACAGGTGTGAACAGTATTGAATAATTAAAAAAAAAATTTTTGTTTGGAGTGTTTCTCTAAGAGGAAAAATTTCATTATGTAATAGTACCTTATTATGGATTAAAAAGAATTCATAGACAACGAATTTTAAGAACACTGACATTTGATGTAAATCTAACAAACAAAAGTTGGCAATACAGTACACACATCCAGCATGAATGTGCTTTAAAAACAAGGCATAAAATACTTGTGATTTATTTACATCAGTTCCAATTCTTGCATATTTGAGTCACTTCACTTTGAACTTCACTGTTTATTAGTTTTGTTTCAAAGAATGGTAAACCACTGCTCACATATCTTTAACGTAACATTTTTTCGTTGCTTTTCAGGAACATTCTGCACCACAGGAGAGAGAGATGTGAACTGCCTTAAGTGGGCCTTGAATGTGCTGAGCTTTTTATTATGTTTATCAGACATTTTTTTAAGCAAAGTATCCTGCATTGTTCAGTAAGTATACTTCATTTTGAAAACCTCATGCTGTCTATGCAGCATTGTTCAAAAATTATACTTTATTTTAAAAGCATCAAGCACTGCTCGTCTGTCTAACAGTAACAATAAAGAGTTAATGGCGATTTGTTTGGCACTGCAACTTTTTCCACAGAACGGATGTGCATGCCTGACAGGCTGGGCAGGAATTTAGTGCGCTACTCACGTTCAAAGTTACGCTGCAAAACTGCAGCGGCATCTTTTGCCATGCAGTCGGTGCTACAGCTCTCATGGAATTCTGGTGTCCTTGTCACTAGAGCATATGACTACTGAAGCCTTAGACTTCAGTAGTCAATTCCTCAGGGCCGTTCGTCATAGCTTATGACAATGTTTGTGTCCAGTATTTCAGTTCTCTCGCATGTGGCGAGGTCCACCTCACTAAAACGAGTCAGCATCAGTAGTGTCGCCTTCCTTGTCAGTGTAGTCTGCATTGATCCTGTGGTAAAACTTCTGAGCTTGATGGTGAAAAAAAAACTTCAATATAAAGAATGTCTGCTGCGGGCCTGATTGCTACATTATACATCTGTAATGCGCCATTTGGGTATACATTGAGAGCATGCACGGGCCATACAGCAAATCTGCCCTCTGAGCTCTTGTTTTGTAAATAATTGGACCCTTATCCGTTTAAATTTTTCTGTAGGACAGTTTACATGCTATATGCTAGCATAAAATGAAGGCTGCTTAGGCACTTCCTTGCCCTCTTGGCATAGGGCTGGTCGCTATACCAGGAAAGGTAATATTTCTGAGGTATGTACACGGTACATCCACAGGATCAGGCTGAACATCCTACAATGGTCCTGAATGACCATCCGCATCAACCAGATTGCGTTAGTGGTACGTTTTCTGGGGAACCATTTTGCACTGCGCAGTAGATACTTTCAATGTTGGATGAATCGTAGCAGATATCCACTGGATATGTTAAATGTCCGAACAACACATCTCTGATGTTTAATAGACGGTTGCTGGTTGACTGGGTACCATCAAACCAATGTGCACCGGGGCACCTGTTGTCAATTGCCGCTCATTGGTTTTCGCCCCCTAAACACCATCAACTTAATGTGCACAGGGGTGCCTGTCGTCAATTGCCGCTTATTGGTTTTCGCCCCATAAATACCATCAATCCAATGTGCACAGGGGGGCCTGTTGCCAATAGCCGCTCATTAGTTTTTGCCCCATAAATACCATCAACCCAATGTGCACAGGAGCACCTGTTGCCAATTGCTGCTCATTGGTTTTTGCCCCATAAATGCCCTCAATGCAATGTGCACTGGGGTACCTGTTGCCAATTGCTGCTCATTGGTTTTTGTTTCATAAATGCAATCAGCCCAATGTGAATTACCTAAAGGATTACCAATTCAGCCCAATGTGAATTCCCTAAAGGATTACCAATTGGTGCACATAGGTTTTTGTTTCATAAATGCATATTGCTCAATGTGTCTGGACCTACAGTTGCACATTGGTTCAATGTGAATTTTGGCCTCATTTCACATCGCCCATTTTCAGCAGGGCAGTACACGCCGCTTCGCGGCGTCCAGCCGGCAAGCCAAGCCCCGCTGTCCCCGATCGCACCTCCGGAAAAGTTTCGTCGACAACATTCGGTTTTTTTAGTGTTCATCGCAAAAAAGAAATGTAAATATCGCCAAAGGCCTCGACAAAACAAAATGCTCGAGAAAAAAAAAAAAAGTAGGCCCACGGGGGGGATCGAACCCGCGTCCACTTGCGTCTAAAATATGCCTTTTTTTTTTTTTTTGCAAACGAAACAAGTTTATTTACATGTTATTTACAGACATCCTTGCAGTAGGTTCCGCAAACATTATAAAAGGTCAAATTGAAAAAGTAATTCAGAAAACGACAGGTGGATAGCTCGTATAGAGACGTTATACAAACTGTAGAGACGAATGAGAAGACAGATACTCTAAACTCAAGAAAAAAAAAATACAGTATCGCCGTGCGGTAAATAGCTGTCACACAAACCTGAAGTGCTTAGACCAGATTTGGCGGAAACGATTGACAGGGAACGCAATAGATACAGTATGAGACCGCGTCAGCGGTTATACAATCTGTACGAAAAAAATTATAAATAAATCAAACAATATAGACGCGCAATTCCAAGGGGGAAGAGCCACGGTCTACTTTTGCGCAACGCGCACCTCAACCAATGCCAACGCGCCTACAGTTCACAGGAACTCGCCAGTTTCCCACGCCTGACGTAGTACGTCGTTGCACGCAGCGGCGACGCCCTTCCTCGAGTTGTCGCTCGATGCGCTCCCAATCACCCGCGTTCGCCTGCCGCGACGTCACCGAGAGCACCCACCCCAACGTGGACACGAAGTAGCTCCAGGTTGGACGCGCGTCGAGAAGGCATTGCACCATTGCGGTACGCGACTGCCAGATGGCGTGCAGGCCCAGCAGCATCATCACGTGCGCCACCTCCGTCTTATCCCTCTCCTCGAGTTGCAGATACTTGAAAGCGCTCCACTCCACTTCGAAGGAGTCCCTGAGCTCAAACGTCGTCCTCATCTCGTCCCAGAAGAGGTAGGCATTACTACACTCGACTAGGACGTGCTGGATGGTCTCGGGCGCCCCGCAAAGGTCGCAGTTTAGGGACCACGGCACGAAGAACTCCTTGTGATGCCAGGTTTTAACTGAAAGGACCTCCATGTGCATCCGGACGAAGAAGACCCTTGTCGCCACAGGGACGGGAAGGATTCGCACGAGTTTGTAGAGTCGCGCCGGGTCGTCGAGCGTCGGTGGTTGTCTGTAGAGCAGTGGCGGGAAGGATGCGGAAACGGCATCCTAGTACAGCCGCCTCTTTCCGACGGTCGCCAGGTACTTCCAGGAAAATTGGGCCTGCAGAAACTCGATGGAGCTGGCGATTTCCTTGTAGAACCGCAAAGCGGCTCCCTTGGTCATGCGGCCACTCGTGCTCACCATCCAATTTCCGAGATGTGGGAATCCAAGGTGGTGCAGCACGGCGATGAAGGTCGGGTCCCTTGCATCCCGGAAGAGCAGGAAACGCTGCACGTGCAGCTTGACCACGATGTTAACGAGACCCAGACCGCCGTTCTCTTGGTGCAGAAAGAAGTTGTTCCTTCGTGTGCTTTCCATGGCGGTCTTCCACACGAACATGGCCCAGTTCCGGTGTACCTTTCCGGCCTGGCTGCCCGGGCAGCAGACGGCCTGAGCCTTGTCGCTTTTCAGCCTCTTGGAGCGCTCTGAAAAGCCGGTGTGCATTCGGTTGGTCAATGCCAGGCGCTCCAAGTATATTCAACGTGTTCTTTCAGAGCGCTCTCGAAGCTCCGACTCTCGCCGTCCTCCGAATCGGAGCGGTTTGAGGCGCTCTGACTTGGAAGTGGGAGCGCGCGAGAGAGGCTGCCGACCGGTCACGTGACTCCAGCCATTCCGCCATTTTGCTTTTGTGTCGGAAGCGAACGGCGAGAACGCAGCTACTCCGCAGAAAAAGGACTGCGGAAAACAGCTGTCAGTCTCGACGCCGTCACCGTTGTGTTGTGCTCCCCGAATTGAGGTGAAATGTCGTTGAAACGAAGACGTTTAATGTTAGGGGTGGCACCGTCAGTGCTGCTGGCGAAGCTAGCAAACAGCAACAACACCAGCAGCTCGGACGGCGACGACGAGGGCCGTGTTTACGAAGCGAAGTTTGCCGAGTTGTTTGACGCACCTTGTACGGTGCCCAAGGTCAAGGCCTATGTTTCTATTCGCCTCGAGATCGAACCGTGTCGCCACCGTGCGGCCGAAACTGGAAACACGCGAAAGCGGGGATACCGCCGTGCGTCGTCTGCTACGGGCGCACGCTCAAAAGCACGGATCTCGACGACGCAAGCCCGTTTCAGGCTGAGCTTGACATTCCTTATTAAATGTATTATTTTTTTTGTTGCCGTTTCGTCTTACTGAAGGCTGTGTTGTATCGTTTCCCATGCGTAGAAATTCAGCAAAGTGATTATTATTAAGTAAGAAGCTTCCATAAAAAAATCCCACGTATCTTTGTTACCTTGCACAAACCGTGGCTTTCATAAAGCATTGAATGTTGAGTGGGTCTGTGTTTTGATTAGAAAATTAACCCGACTGATCGCTATGCTTTAATAGACTAATCAATCAATAAATCCGTATGTTGATTTTTCGCCGGTCATATTGCGTGAAAGACGTTAAAACTATACATTTTTTTACTGGTTTTACTATGTCATAAATGGCATATTGCATTCCCATTCTAAACCTCACGTTGCGAGCCTTACATGCATATCAACACGGGAAGCCTTTTAAAATGAAGTATCTTTTTAATATTAATTGGGTTGCGGGGATATTTATACAGCGTGTAGTTGGTCAGCCATTAAAGTTGCGACGAGTCACACGCTGTAGATGAGCAATTTAGCCAGTGCAGTACAACCGCTAGCCTGGGGTCTTTAACGTGCATCACGCAGCAGTGATACACGACCGCACGCCGGTACGATGCTCATCCAGATCGAAACGGGCAGGGGTGGGGCTCGAACCCAGGATCCCTGGGCTCTGCAGCGCGAGCTTTCGCTCCACGCGCGTCGAGCTGGGTGTGCGCTTTAGCCCACTCGGCCACCGATCCCCCCAAGTATCTTTTTAAGTTATTATTTAAACAGTATAATCACCTACGGTGAAATGACAAGCACGCTGAAGTGGTTTACCGTGCAAGCCTGTGTCACAAAAGATATAAAGACGTCAAAAATATTAAAGCAGGTATTATTTACTCCTTGTTGACTTTCTCCAGCACAAGACTCCAATTAACTGGCAAAGAAAATTGCAATTAAAGCATTACTTGGATAATCTGAAAGTTAACCGATGAACTGCCTAGTCCCGATATACGTTGGGTGAGGGCGGTTGATCGGAAAGTCTCGCGAAGGTCGCTAGCCCTCATCAGTAAAAGAGTATCACTGCGGCCGATGCTGTCTGTGTCGTGTGCGCGTCGTTTGTTGGGGTTGCAGTGTCTAGTGTGTTTGAATACAAGATTATTTAGCCACAAATTTATATTATTAGCCTCTTGACATCCGCGGCCCTCACCAAGAAAATTGAAGCGGGTGAACCCACACTACTGAAAAAA